ATAACGAAGGGAACAACCAAGATTTGGACTATTTTGGTTCATTCTCTGAACCCTTCAAACACTGCTAAACAATCTTACAAATATATTGCGGAGATCATGCAAGAGTGCAGGGGTCAACTTTCTGGGAGATCATGCAAGAGTGCAGGGGTCAACTTTCTGTAATCTCAAATAAGTAGTTAAATTATATTGATCTCCCTTCATATATTTTTTTTAAAAAAAATATAATAAATTTTATAATTTTAACATAATTACAGTATGTTTCTTGATAATTTAAATTTACATAACACTTTATTCTCATCAATAATTTATTAATCATATGGATGAAAAAAAATAATATATATATATATATTTTACATTTAAATGTATTACTCTTACGTATTTTCATTTGTTTCCACTCATTTAACTTTACTAAAAATGAGATTAGTAATTACGTCAAAATTATAAAACTATTTGTATTTTTTTAAACCTCAAGGAAGCTTAGCGTAATTTACCATAAATAATTTTAAAATGCAAATACTCTTCAATTAAGTAGGAGATTAATGGTTCGAATCATTCCACTTATATATGGATTTTATTTTCTATGTATTTGTTTGTGATTTCCCTCTCATTTTGATAATTTTTTTTGTGTTAATTATATATTGTACTTAATCCTTATTATGATTGTTTGGGATATCTTGTTCCTATTTTGGAGGGAAAAAAAAATCGTAAATATGGAGAGAAGATTTTAATATTGATTGTGTAGGTAATCACAACTGACTATCATTTGAAAAAACTGCACTTTTAAATTTTATTTCTTCTTCTTTTTAATTAGGGATGCACAAAAAAATCAATGGAACTGGTAAATTGATTGGTCTAAATTGTCAGTTTAGTTTGATTTTTATTAATTTCTATTCTAGTTCTACTTTTGAAAATGGTGGAACTGTTCAAATCGGTCCAGTTTTCGGTTCCAAGGCTTTGGTTATGGTTCCCAATCGAATCAGACCGTAAGAGTGGAAGCCAAGTAAAAATAAGCCTAAAATAGCAAACAGAGTATAACCAAGCCCATCTTGGATAAGCCAAATGAGGCTAAAGCCCACTGGACTCCAAGTCATTGCCAAATCGACACAGAAGCAAGATAAGGAGTACACCGAGTTAAGGGTACCTGGGCCGCATAACTGAGCCAAGTACATCAGATAAGTCAGCTAGACCATGTCATGCGAATCTAGGTTGTCCCTTTTTAAAGAGTACATTAGAGAGATAAGCCCTGACAAAGTGATGATGAGGGCCAAAGCTACAAAGGAAGGAAATCTCAATAAAAGGGAGAAGAGATGAGAGAGAAAGGTATGTCCTAAAAAACTCATACCCTAAGAAACCAAAAAAACTATTCTTTCAATAGAAGCTAACTTGCTTGTCGGAGTGCTAGTTCTAGCACCACCGACCGATGTTTTATTTATGTTTTAGGCGACAGTTAGGAAAATCTTTCAAGGGCTTGTTTAGATTGAATGAGTATTCCAAAACCACCTTCCCATAATTGGCATTGTCTGTGAGAATACTCAAACTCGTCCACAGCAAACTAGAATCAAGATCTTCCAGTCACCAAAGTTGATAATGTCATAGCAGGAGTAACTTTCGGTCCTGAAGAAACCCATACTAAGAGGTCTCTAAATTTTGACCCGGTAACCCCATTTCAGCCTTCAACATCCACAGAGGATGCAATGCAGACATTGATGAATCAAATGCAACGTAATGAACAGCATTTCGAGGACATGGCAGCAGAGAACGAGCGCATGTGTAAGGAGTTGGCAAAGTCCCAACAACTACCACATCACCATGAACGTGGTCGGTCGCCAAGTGGGCAGAAAAGGTGACAACGTCAACCTCGGAGGCACGATAGCAACACTTCAGATTCATCTTGGTCGGAACCTAAGAAACGAACCCAAACTGATGATTTCAGTTCGACTGATGGAGAAGATTCTTCGTGGGCTCAATGCACACAAAAGAAGGAAGACTCAGATTCAAAAGATAGGCACAACCCCTTTGTTCGTCGAATTGCAAAGGCTGTCTTGCCTAAAATGTTTAAGGCACCGTCGTTCACTCTATACGATGGAAAGTCAGATCCCACGAATCATGTTCGTCATTATAAGCAAGTAATGACATTGCATACAAATGACAAGGCACTCATGTGCCGAATATTCCCTAACAGTTTGGGACCAACAACACACTTATTGTGATATTAATTTTTTTTATTTATTTGTATTTTTTTTTTATTTAAATTGCACATGTATTGCGATGTCAACTGCTAGTGTGTATATAGAGTAATATTAGGGATTATAAAAAAAAAATCCTAAAATGCCTCATGAAATTTTTTTTTCATTCTTTGGTTAGTGTGTAGTGTTTCATTGTATGTCTAATCTAATAGTGGAGAATCTTAACGAAACATTTCATGATCCATAACATTACTCGTGTATATATATATATATACACATAACTACTATGTATATCTTTTTTGGTTTGTGAATCATATGCGATGATACAGCTTGTTCCAGTGAATAGATCGGACTGGTCCAAACTCCTCAAGCCCACGTCCAAATGATCAAGCCCACCGGATAACCTGAAAACAAGTTCAACGGGGAACTGGGTAGTCCCTCAGTGAACCCTCCGACAAGCAAGTTAGGAAGAGAAGTAGAGTACAGAGGGAGAGATTAGAGATAGAAAAGCTTAACCTTCTTCTTGTCTTCAACGTTTGCTTATATCCTTTGGTAATCATTTCGCTGTTCCTTCCGACCTGACCTCCTCGCCGAAAGTTTATGTTGTAGCTTACCTTGTTCAGGGTAAGGGGGTCCTGTTCCGATGGAGAGGTGTTGTCGTAATACATGCTGTGATGGGCTGCATTAATGGTGATGTGCAGTGGCAATAACTTTGCAGATCTTTGTTTACTGGTGTGGCTCGTCCTTCACCTACCATGTGTCTGAATGTCATTGGCTCTTTATGCCATGTTGGATTCCAGCTGTCCTGGACCTCACCAGCTGGGTTATGTATTGGGCTCCAAGTGATGGGTTTGGGTTGTTCATAGTGATTCATGGCCTTTATAGGCTTATACACGTCAGTAGTCCCCTATTGCCGAGTGCAGCTTTAGTCCAACGAAGGGAATACTAATGAAGAAGATGAGGGTGTTAGGGATTGGCAGGATGGAGGTCGATCGACAGGGGTGACCGAGAGGGTGAACCGACCGGGAGGTGGTCCGACCGTGCAGGGTGACCGAGTGGAAAGGCTGACCACGAGGAAGGCCGACCGCAAAGGTTGGCCGAGTGAGAGGGCCGACCACGAGGAGGGCCAACCGCGAAGGGGGGCCGACCGCGGAGGTTGGCCGAGTGGGAGGGTCAACCACGAGGAGGGCTGACCTCGAAGGGTGACCGAGTGGGAGGGTCGACCACGAAGAGGGCCAACCGCGAAGGGGGGCTGACCGCGAAGGTTGGCCGAGTGGGAGGGTCGACCACGATGAAAGTTGACCGCGAAGGGTGACCGAGTGGGAGGGTCGACCACGAAGGGTGACCGAGTGAGAGGGTCGACCACGAGGAGGGTCGACCGCGAAGGGTGAAGTGGAGGGGCGTGGGGCTCGAGAGGCTGTGTGTCACGTGGTGATTTGAAGTGGAAAAGACAGGGTAAGAGGAGAAGACAGTGGATTGTGGTCGTACACGTGGCAACATCCCGCGAGGGGGAGATTAGGCGTTAGATCAGAAATGAAACAATATGTCATTATGGGTGTTGAAAAGACAGTTTTGGCGGATGATTTGAAAAGTTTTCAAAATGGCGGAAATTAATTGGGATCCTTGGAATACAGGCAAACTGTGGGCTTTTTGCATTATTCAATTCACCTACTTGTTTACGAAAAATCAAAATATTCTAAGTGTGAATTCCTTTGTTGCTCACGATACACCTCTGCAACACTTTTCAATTTCCTTTCATCTCCATCCGAAGCGATTCGCAGACATACCATAGAAATGGCCCAAGAAGGAGCTGCGAATGTCAGGGTGGATCCACTTGGTGATGATGATGCAGTGGAATTAGCACAGCAATATAGGATGGAGAGGGTGGGGGAGTTGGTGGTGCGATCCCATGGTTCCACCATGATAGCAGCTCCAAAGCCAATCAGCTAGGCAGAACCAGATCACTGGCATACAAAGGTAGATAGATCAACGGTTACTGTAGCGGATTTGGAGGCTATTCGTGAAAAATACCAGGTGCCTGCTGAAATAGAGTTATTGTTGCCGATGTCAACGGAGAGGCCATCCGATGCGAGACAAGGGGAGTTTGCCCTTTATGAGGAAGCATTGAAGGGAAGACTAAGGCTGCGCCTGCCGCAAGTGGTGGTAGATGTCCTGAATCGTTTGGAGATAGCGTCGGGCTAACTAATGCCCAATGTGTGGAAGATCTTATTGGCCTGTGCAAGTGTGTGGCCGAAGGCAAATGAAGGGGCGGCTATGACAGTAGACGAATTCTTCGCATGTTACAAGGCCTCGGGGCAGCAAGAGACTTGGGTCACTCTGCAGGCTGCAGCAGGGAAAGGGCTGTTGGCGGGGCTGCCGTCGTCCATCAAGGGGTGGAGACCACGGTGGTTCTATGTGTCTGCCAGTGGAGGGGTTGGAGTGCGCACCATTTGGAAAGTGCCCACTAAGTCTGTGGAGCCAAAGCTAGGAGCAGCAGCAGAGGAGAGGGTGAAGAGGGTAAAGGAATGGAGGGAGAAGGAAGGGGCCAGATGGGACGAGCTCGTTCAGCCATCGGTTTTGTTTGAGGCAAGGTTGGGTCCATAGTCGAGTGGTGGGGACCTCGACCGAACGGAGTTGGAAGCAAGGAGAAAGGCTCAAGAGGCGGAGGACCAGACCATCTTGGCCAAAGCCCAAAAATTCAAAGAGTCGTAGGCAGACCGACCGCCAAAGCCGGTTGCGAGGGAAAAAGACTTAAGTGAATTTGTGCCACGACCGCCCCCAACAGATCCCTTGAATGAGAGGGTTTTGAAGGAGATGGAGGTGGGAGGCGTAGTGAAAAAGAAGAGCAGAGTGAGGAGAAGTGAAGAAGAGCCTGCCTTGAAGAGAAGGAGGGAAGTGAGGGCAGAAGAGACCAGTGTGGCCAAGGAGGCAGAGAGGGGGGGGAGTGGAGGAGACCCCAGGAAGGGTGGTCGTCTCAGAAGTGGTGGACATCGCGTCGGAGGGGATGAAGGTCGTTCCAGTAGTGGTGGGGATCGCCACAGAGGTAGCGAGGGCCGCCCCCGAAGTGCAAGTAGAAGGTGGGGCAACTGGCCCTGAGCTAAGAAGGGGAGAACAGCCCTAAGGGGGGCCTGCACCCCAAGGAGGGGGAGTCAGTCTGACTACTGCGATCTACTACGCTCGTGCAGTGGCTAGGCGGCTGGAGGGAGAAGAAGGCCCAGCCAGGACAGGGGTAGACCGCCTTGTGGGGATTGTGGAAGAGGCAGCCTTACGCTCAGCAGTCAGATTCAATGAGGCTGAGCTGCTGAAGGGGTTATGCTCTGCTCAAATGGAGGTAACCACCTTAGCAGGGGCTCTGCTGAGAAAGGCGGGGGCTGCAAAACTCAAGGCAGATGAGGCCAAGGCTTAACTTGCAAAGTTGAAGAAGGAGAGTGTGAACTGGGAGAGTGCCCATGCTGAGCTGCGAGCGGTCAAGTTGGAGCTGGAGAACGAATGCCATCAGGTTGTGTCACTCAAGTTCCAGCTGGCTAGTGAGCAGAGGAAGCTGGAGGAGGCCCAAAAATCCTGCGCGGTCGTGCTCGAACGACATGAAGAGGCGATGACCAGTAACGAAGAGCTGGTTAAACAGAAGGATGAGGCAGACGTGAAGATTGATGGTCTACAGAGGGAGCTGGAGGGAGAACGTGCGAAGGTAATGGAGGAGATGGACGACCTACAAAAGGAATTAGAGGAGGAGAGGGCCAAGGCATCTGCTGAGAGGGCGGGCGTGCAGAGGAAGTTGGCTGAAGAGAGGGCCAAGGCAGCCTCTGAAAGGGCGACCCTGCAGAAACAATTGGAGGAAGAGAGGGCTAAGGTGGCCTCTGAAAGGGCGACCTTGCAGAAGGATCTGGACGAAGAGAGGGCCAAGGCAGCCTCTGAAAGGGCGGCATACCCCGATCTGTGCGTTGCAGCAGTGGATCAGTTCAAGGGGCCTGTTGAATTTCAGATGGCAGTTGATGCCGCGGTCCCTAGCAGCTTGGCGAGGGAGGAGTCTGGGGGGCGGGCCCATCGAGGACGACCGCTGGGGGCAGGATTGAGTCGGAAGTGATTGAGAGCTTCTAGCAGACAGACTTTTATAAACACGAAATGGCTGAGTTCTGGGACAGTGGTTGGAAGATGTTCAAGCGTAAGGCTGAGGAGCTATTCCTAGACTTGGACCTGAGTAGTGTGAAAATTGACGACGACAATGTGGCCCAGACTTCCCTGGATGAGGGTATTGAAGAAGAAGACCTTGTGTCCAGCGAAGAGGAGTAATTGAAGAAGAAGAAGAAAACCTTGCACAGACATTGTGTGGTTGTTTTTGTTTTGTTTTGTTTGTTTGTTTGTTTGTCTGTTTTTTTTTTTTTTTTGAATTGCTGTAATGAACTTATGTACAAAGTTGTGAATAAATAAAATTTCAGTTGTGTTTTGCATTTGATTGCTTTTGCTTGTGTGTGGAGCTTGTGTATAAATCATTGTGAAGTGTAGAGTGGAGGCAGACTTGTAATAAAAATTGAATTTAGGAATTCCTCAAGATAGAGTGGGATTGAAGTTGTAATAAAAACTCAATGCAGATTAAAGTTAGGAACTCCTCAATGCAAAGTAAAGTTAGGAACTCCTCAATGCAGAGTGAAATTTAAAATGTAATAAAATTATAAGTTGGTGTTTGCCACGCTGCTCAAATAGGTTAGTGGTTTATGGGGTGAGAAGGGAAGAGGCTGACTTGTACACTTGTAAAGAAAACGTGTACGAACGTCTTTGGAATTTGACTGAGCAAAGAGTGGTGTAAAGACTTGGAGTTGGAATTGTGACTAAGTGTGTCTACTAATTCCACAAGCATGAAGTTTGCAGGGGTGGCCTTGACCGAGCCCTGCATGCGTGCTCAGTTGGGGCTAAGCTACGATTCATTGACGTTGTAAGTAACTCAGTCTAAGCCTGAAATTGTGGCGTTCGGTCTTGGCGGAGACTTGTTATGCTTAGGCTGGCTGGGGTTTGGTCTGGCCGAGTGCTTCATGCTCAGTCGGGCTGAGACTTTTTGACGCTTGTCTGGACGAGGCTGTTGGTGCTCAATCTGGCTGAGGCTTATGGTGTTCAGACTGGCTGAGGCTTTTTGGTGCTCAGTCTGGCTGAGGCTTGTTGTGCTCAGTCTGACTGAGGCTTTTTGTGCTCAATCTGGCTGAGGCTTTTAGTGCTCGGACTGGCTGAGGTTTTTAGTGCTCTGTCTGGCTGAGGCTTTTAGTGCTCGGTCTGGCTGAGGCTGTTAATAAATGTTGCAAATGAAAATGTTATTGAGACAACACACAGATAGCTGAGATATAAAATTGTTGTCATGGACAGTGTAGTCTAGTCGATCAAAGTTTACATTATGTATCAAAAAGGAAACACAACAACTGAGCAATACAACAGTAGGAATTTATTGAAAGTAGCGTTTCAAGTGTTCAGCGTTCCAGGGGTGGGGAAGGTCTCGACCTTCCATGTCCTGAAGTCGGTAGGTGCCCGGACATGGTTGGGCTTTTACGACGTAAGGTCCCTTCTATTTGGCTGCCAGTTTACTCTTAGTCGGATTTTTGGTGGCAAGAGTTGTTTCTCTTAAGACAAGGTCCCCTACAGCGAACTCCCTTGGTCGGACTCTGCGGTTGTAGTGTGTTCTCATTTTCTGTTGGTATGAGGCCAGTCTAACAGCGGTGGTCTCTCTGAGTTCTTCAATTAGGTCCAGGTCTACCCGACGAAGCTCTTCGGTCAGCGCTGGATCTGGATGTAAAACCCTGGGAGTAGGCAGACCGACTTCTACTGGAATAACCGCCTCAGCGCCGTATGTTAAGCGGAAAGGGGTTTCCCCAGTGGGAGTCCGAGTTGTAGTTCGGTAAGCCCAGAGTACATTCGGTAGTTCCTCAGCCCAAAGTCCCTTAGCAGCTTCTAGCTTAGTTTTGATGATCTTCAGGAGAGAACGGTTGGTGACCTCAACTTGGCCATTAGCCTGGGGATGACCGGGGGAAGAGAAACATGGTTGAATCTGGAGGTCGGCACAGAACTTCCTGTACTTGGCGTTGTCAAATTGTTTGCTGTTGTCGGAGACGATGGCCTGAGGGATGCCAAACCTGCAAACGATCGACTGCCAGATGAACTTGGTTGTGTTCCGCTCGGTAGTGGTGGCAAGGGGTTCTGCCTCTACCCACTTGGTGAAGTAATCAATGGCGACAATCGCGAACTTGGTCTGGCCTCGGCTGGTGGGAAGTGGACTGACCAAGTCGATCCCCCATTTGGCAAACGGATAAGGGTTGCAAAGTGTGATAAACTCTGTAGGAGGAGCATGGGGGATGTTGGCAAAACGTTGACACTTATCACATTTGAGCACGAAATCAGTCGCATCTTGATTGAGAGTTGGCCAGAAATAACCAGTACGGAGTATTTTGTGGGCTAGAGACCTACTGCCTGAATGATTACCACAAATTCCCTCATGGATTTCGCGCATTACATAGGTTGCTTGAGCCGAATTGAGGCATCGCAGGTACGATCGTGAAAAACCATGTTTGTACAAGACGCCACTGACCAGGATGTAATTGGACGACCGGGCCCTGACTTTGGCAGCCTGCTTTTGGTCATCTGGGAGTTCCCCTGTTGTCAAAAATAGGAAGATGTCGGATGCCCAAGGGATGGGTTCGTTTTGGAGGAACTGCACTTCTTGTAGGTCGGGTGAGATGGCCGGAAGGGCTAGGTATTCGAGGCGGACACCGTGGTTGAGGTCGGAGTGGTCTACAGAGGCCAACTGAGCCATCTCATCTGCCTTGGAGTTTTCCGCCCAAGGTATGTACTTGATGTGGAAGGTATTGAAGAGGCGAACAAGGGGGAGTGCCATATCCCTGTAAGCCCGTATTGTGTCCTCTTTGGCATCGAATTCCCCCGTAATCTGGCCGACAATGAGTTGGGAGTCGCTCAACACCCGGATGTGGCTGACTCCAATGTCCTTGGCGAGGCGGAGTCTTGCTATCAATGCCTCATATTCAGCCTCATTGTTACGGGCATTAAACATGAAACGGAGAGCACATTTGAAATAGCCACCCTCAGGGGCGGTGAGAATGAGGCCAGCCCCACTACCTTTCCTGCGGGATGATCCGTCGACGTTGAGAGTCCAAGAATGCAGGTCTTCTGGCTCGGTAGGGGTTGGTGGGGGTGGAGGGGCAGCGATTGGGGTAGGATTAGTGAATTTCAGGAAGAAATCCGCGATAGCCTGTCCTTTAATTGCTGTTCGAGGCCGGTAGGAGATGTCCAACTGACTGAGTTCCACTGACCACTGCATGAGTCTGCCTGAAAGTTCTGGTTGTTGCATGACCTTCTTCAAGGGTTGGTCGGTGAGAACCACTATGGAATGGGCCTGGAAGTAAGGATGGAGCCGTCTGGAGGTGGTGACCAAGGCCAAGGATAATTTTTCTAACAGCAGGTAATTCTGCTCTGCTCCCCTGAGAGCCCGATTGATGTAGTAGACCAGTCGTTGGACAGAGTCGTCTTCCCTAATAAGAGTTGCACTGACTGCGGTGCTTGAGACGGCTAAATAGAGGAAGAGGGGCTCGCCCGTAATTGCTTGCGAAATGAGAGAGGGATTGGCCATGCACTACTTCAACTGCTGAAAAGTCTCTTCAGATTCAGTTGTCCATTCAAAAGTTTGCTGAAGAACTTTGAAGAATGATAGGCACTTATCTGTTGCACGGGAAATGAAGCGGTTAAGGGCCACAACTCGGCCAGTGAGCCTTTGAACCTCCTTAACCGTTCTGGGTGACTGCATCTCAATCAAGGCCTTGATCTTTTCAGGGTTAGCTTCAATGCCCCGCTGACTGACCATAAAACCCAGAAACTTCCCAGATCCTATGCCGAAAGCGCACTTTTCTGGGTTGAGCTTCATTTGGTACTTGCGTAGGGTGGCGAAGGTCTCTCGCAGGTCGGTCAGATGATCAATAGAGAGTTTGCTCTTGACTAGCATGTCGTCGACATATACTTTCATATTCTGACCTATCTAATGATGGAAAACGGCATTGACCAACTGTTGGTAGGTGGCCCTAGCATTCTTCAGTCTGAATGGCATCACGCGATAGTGGTAGGTACCTCGGTCGGTAATGAAGGATGTATGTTCCCGATCGAACGAGTGCATCAGGATTTGGTTGTACCCAGAGAAAGTATCCATGAAGCTAAGCATTTGATGACCGGCCATGGCGTCGACCAGTAGATCTATGTGGGGAAGAAGATAGCTATCTTTGGGGCAAGCTCGGTTTAGGTCAGAGTAATCGACACAGAGTCGCCATTTGCCATTGTTCTTGTGGACTAGGACCACGTTTGACAACCATTTATAGTAATCCACGTTTTTGATTAATTGGGCCTCAAGGAGCTTGTCAACCTCTGCGGCTATAAGAGTATTGCGCTCTGGATGAAAGATGCGCTGCTTCTGGCGGTAAGGTCAGAAATGCGGTACGATGCTGAGGCGGTGAGTTATGAAAGAGGGGTCAATGCCCAGCATATCTGAATGGGTCCAGGCAAATACATCGTTGTGCTCGATCAGAAGGGCGGTAATGTCGGCCTTAACTTGGGGGGATAGTTGGCTGCCGATCTTGGCAGTTTTCATTTGGTTGGTGGGATCGATGGGAATCTCAATGAGCTCCTCCACCGGTTCTCCTCTGACCAGCTCGTCCTCATCTCGGACGTCAAGTCCTTCAATGATCATGGCCTCCTTCAGCTTGACTTCCTTGAGTGAAGCGACATAACATTCCCTGGCTGCGGTCTGCTCTCCCCTTACTGTCCCGACGCCCAGGTCAGTAAGGAACTTTATGGCGAGGTGGTAGGTTGAAGTGATGGCTTGGAAAGCGTTGAGGGCGGTGCGGTCAAGGATGATGTTGTAGGCAGAGGGACAGTCGACCACAAGGAAAGTGAGCAACTTCGTAGTCTGCCGTGGGTATTCGCCGATGGTGAGGGAGAGATCGATGGTGCCGATAGAGGTCACCCGGTCGCCAATGAAGCCGACCAAAGGGGTTTAGAGGGGAAACAGACTTTCCTCCCCAATCTTGAGCTGGCGAAAGCAGTTGAGGAATATGATGTCTGAAAAACTGCCGTTGTCGATGAAAACCCGTCTGACCTTATAGTTGGAGAGGAGGGCAGAAATGACGAGAGGGTCATCATGAGGATAACAGATGCCTGTATAGTTGGCGTCCGTGAAGGTGATGGGCTCTGTCCACAGCTTGGGCTGTTTGGAGGGTCGGTCTACTGTGGCAACTGCTTTGTCTGAGCCTTGC